TTGCACCTGATCTTGCGATCTACATATAAAAATTTCCTTTTTTGGATTTGTATCACTTGCGCAAATAAGTGTACGCGATTATGCGAAGCATCCAAGATGCGAAAATATGCGCATCTTATGCTTTCGCATAATCCTGGACACCCTAGCTAGGATACTCGAAATTTTGTGCATTGGTTATGCCTTTAGTCATAAGACACAGTTTTTAATGTTAACGTTAAATATATGAGATATATGACATAAGAGTAATCGTTGGTTACACTTGCGAAATGTGAATGTGAAAAAAATCTTTTTAGATGTATTTGATCTCATCAACCAATGAAAATTTTAGATATTTTAGATCTTATCTTGATCACCTTGGTACAACTACTTTTATATTTAAATATTTATCGTTATTGCAGCAATCAAGGAAACCTTCCAAATATCGATAAAGTATTTTTTTAAAAAAAAAATTTTTTTCACTTTATTTCACCCGAGAAAGAGTTAATAGTTATGTCTGATAACGTAGCTCATGCACTCAGCGGTAAGAATTGAGAGTAAGAATAGAGAATTCAAAAAGTTCTTCAATTATTGAAAGAATTAAACCGTTCATTATTAATATAGGCGCAGCTGGTGGCATCATTTCTATGGCCTTGACATACCCTTTAATAACAGTTAGTTCTAGGCTCCAGGTTCAAAAAGATAATAAAGCAGTGGAATCCTATAAGGTAAGTTCAAAATTTTTTTTAAAAAAAATTTATTAAAAAAATGAGATGTTGGAATTATGTTGATCGGTGAAAATATGTAGGGTGGAAGGGATGCAATTATAAAAATTATAAAAAGGGAAGGTTTTAGTGGGTTATACTCGTAAGAATTTTAGCATAATACTAAGTTTTGAATATAATTGTTACCTTAATTATCTTAATGATAACTTTCTACATTTGTATTAGCGGGGTGAATTCTGCCATATTTGGTATTGCCATTACGAATGGTTTGTTAAATTTATACGTGTAAATTATTATTTATTAATATTAGCAATTCAAAAAGTTAACTTTAATTCTTATTATAGGTGTTTATTATTATTTTTACGAGTGGATCAAGGCAGTATTTGAAAAGTCGGCAAAACAAAAACGTCCTATATCAGTCAAAGAATCTATGATCTCTGGCGCTATAGCCGGTGCTTTAACTGCTATAATCACAAATCCTATTTGGGTTGTTAATGTATGAGTCTTTTTTTTTTTTTAATATACAGTATACTATAATATGTTAATCCTACTAATATTGTTGTTATTTTATAATGTTTAGACTCGTATGACGACACGTAAAGATTCGTTAGATGAAAGCATTAAAAGCGAATCAGGTGTAAAACAAATGAAAGCAAAAAGATTGGGTACTATTTCAACAGTTTTAAAAATTATTGAAGAAGATGGGATTCCGGCCTTCTGGCAAGGTGTTATCCCGGCTTTGATTTTAGTCATCAACCCAATTATTCAATATACCTCGTTTGAGCAATTAAAAGTACAATTAGAGAAAATCAAGAAATTAGGGAACCTTGACTTTTTTTTATTAGGTGCTGTTAGCAAACTCATTGCCACCACAATAACTTATCCTTATATGTAAGTTGACATTTTATTTTATTAACATTAATAATTAAATAATTAAATAATTAAATAATTAAATAATTAAATAATTAAATAATTAAATAATTAAATATTTGAAATATTTAATATTTTTGTAGTGTTATTAAATCACGTATGCAACTTCGTAAATCTTCAAAAGAAAGTAGTCGATACAATTCAGTGATGGATGGTGTACGAAAAATCGTTCAAAATGAGGGTTATAGTGGTCTTTACAAAGGGATTACATATAAATTAATTCAATCTGTTTTGACAGCAGCGTTCTTGTTTATGTATAAAGAGGCTTTCTTTGCGTATAGCGTTGCATTATTGAAATATATTAATTCTAGGCCATTGACATCTAAATAGAAAATTTTTGATTATGAAAGTTTATATTGGCATAGTATTTATTATTTTGTAATGTAATTTTTATTGACAAACCAATTTTATCTATAAATAAAGGCTAGGTTTTGAGCTGTTTAACGATAGATGATAAACTAAAAGTTTTTGGTGATACAAGATGTTAAGATCGCCATTTATATCTGTATATAAATAAATTTTTTTTTTAAATTTTCCCAAAGTCGCTATCATGAGTTTCTTTACTAAAGCTGTTAGAACTGCCCTCAGTATAAGAGCTCGCGCTCCAGGTAACTTTATTGAGTTTATTACACCATTTAATTTTAGCCTTTATCAAATTGTTTGTTATAAAGCATTCGCCAACCCTTTAGCATTTTCGCAACTGCGAATTTATGTTTGCAGCTCGTTGGTATGCCACCGAGGCATCGGGTAGCTCGTCTGGGTTGCGATTAAGCTTCGTACTTCCCCATCAGGTAATTTTGAATAAATATCTGATAATTAGATATCAATATTTTTATAAACTTGCTCTTATATTATAGAATTTTGATCAGTAATCGAATTTATAAGATCGGGAAAGATGTTAACAGGTTTTTTTTTTATTTTTAGACCATTTATAAAAATGTAGAAGTTCAACAAGTTAATATTGCAGCGACTTCTGGTGATATGGGTATTTTGGCTAGCCATGTACCTTCAATTGAACAATTAAAACCAGGTGTCATTGAAGTAATTGAAAATGCAAATACAACGAAAAAATTTTTTGGTGAGTACATTAATGAACTAGTTCAATTCATACTTGGTTGTTTTGTCATATCGAATAAAAAATATAGAATATTCGTTAGAGATGAAAGTATAGAATATTCCGTATGAATTGTAGATATCTTTAATATTATAGAACAAATGATTATATGTATTTAGTTAGTGGTGGATTTGCTATAATCAATCCCAATTCCTCGCTTGACATTAATGTCGTGGAAGCCTTTCCTTTGGAAGAATTTTCACCCGAGGTATTTAAAAAAAAAAAATTTTTTTAACTCATAGTTTTTTTCGTTAAGACCGTTTATTTTTATACATAATTTCAATATATTTAAAAGGCAATTAGAACAAATTTAGCCGAAGCACAGCGAACTGCGACATCCGGATCTTCAGAAGAAGAAAGGAATATCGCAAAGGTTGAAGTCGAAGTTCTTGAAAGTTTACAGAGTGCATTAGGCAAATGAATACTACATTGTGAATACATTTTATTATAGTTTTTTTTTCTTATATATAAAGTCTTTGGCAACTTTGTTGTCACTTATCAAAAAGTCTATGATTAAAATTTTAGTTTCTAAAGTATAAAGTAAAAGTGGAATTGATACGTTTTATGGTCGTTATCCCTATTGTTGATTTCTGATCAAGATCACGGGGATTGTTATTGTTGTAAGTGAAACCGGAATTTAAGTGGATTCATATAAAACCAGCAATTTGAAGTTGTATGTACACCCTAAACCTAATCTAAATAGGAAATTCCAAATTCACTTAAACTTCATTTCCACTCACATTACGTACTAAAATATTAAAAATCTAAGAATTGTTTTTAATTTCGTTGTCATCGATTGAACTATCTGATATTATTGGCAATATGTAGAACGTTTTTCTGGACCAAAATTCATCATTTCATACCCAATTCAACATAATTAGGAATATTAGATGCGAACTCTAATTGTGATCAATCTTCATAAATATATGTTAACTGTTAACGTTAAAAAAAAATGTATATGCCAAATACAACCTTTTTTTTATTATTGGGAAATAAATAAAATTGACGTTTTTGCTGCTTGTGTAATTAGTTTTTAAGCACAAAAGTTGGACTTTTTTTTATCAATTGATCTATTTGCTCTTTGTTTCTTTAAAGTGAATTCTTTTGTCATTATATTTTTGTGTAGGCAATAGGTTAAAACCTTAGTTGCAGTTTACATTTATATAATATATAAACTTAGGATTGGCTAACTACGTAAAGGTTTTTTTAAGCCAATTATAGCATTCAGTTAACGTTAAGAGTTTTGCATTAATTGATGCATGTCCACGTTTTCAACTAGGCGATTTGTTGGTAACTATATAATATAGATTATATATTATTTAAAACTGAAAGTTATTTTTTAAAAAGAAGTTATTTGTTTAAAGGAGTAATCATCGTTTTTTCAAAATAGATTTATTTAGAAATTAGCTGCTGCTAGCGTAAGGATAGACATTTACTCTTTGTCAAATTACTGGTTTATCCAAGAATTCGCTTTGAATATCTATTATTGATTGGTCTTAGAAGTAACCGAAACATATTGATTTCAATTTTTTTTTTTTTTTTTTAATTTCGTAATAAGAACTGCAATTTGAGTTCCAGGTATACTCTTAATACTGTAGAAAAACTTTAAAAATTATCTATTCAAATTATGCCTTCACGCTCTCTCTGAATTTAAAATCGTTAACAATGCTTTTACGGTTGATTTATTTATAACTGTTAGCAATTAGGCATTTTTCGAATTCCTCACGTAAATGATAAATCTTGTCAAACTAACATTTTTTTACATTATAATTTAAACATTTTATTGTTGATAAATGTCACGAAAGAATGAGAATATACAAATAAAAAGCATAAAGCAAGGAAACTCATTAAGACATAATTATGAATGTTAAAGTTTAGTGCCTAGTAACTTTATTTTCTTGTTAATCAATCCAACAGTATAGCTCCCGCCTTTCTGCTTGCCTTTCGATTTATCGTTTTTCAACTTGGTTAATATCATTTTGTTGTTATTATCATAAATTGAACCCCATTCTTGAATGACTCTTAGGTTGATCAGCTTCATTAGTTTCGAAGCTACTAGGACTTTAGGACAGCTCGATTCTGATAATTTCGTTAAACAAGTTTTCACTCAATTGGTTGTTTCTTCGAAGAGCATGTATCTTTCTTTAATAACGTGTACGAATTCATTAACTTTGTTTAAAAATTTTTATGCTGCCTTGATTACAATGAACTGGAATAATGAGCTTTATTTGTTGTGAAAATAAATAAAAGAATTTAAAAAAAAGTTAAAACCAAACGCATACTTACACTTGTTATGATCATGGTTCGACATGGGAGAGTAAAACTAGAGTATTGCATCGAAACTAGACACACCTACTGTATCTTAAAAGATATTCGTAATATAAAAATAATTAAAGGCGAAAATAAAAGCACAAGCAATAAAAAAGGAAAAATCTATATATAAATACCAACAGCAAATAAGCATAAGCAGCAAATAAGCATAAACACAATGACGCAGGTAAAATTTTCATATTTTTTGCAGGAATTAGCCACCCCATTTCTTTGCCATAGCAATAGTCATCTAGCCCTGCCGAAGTAAAATGATCTTTATTATCGGAATCAGCCACCTTAGTTCTTTGGCCATAAGATATATTCGTAGGTCTAATGGAATGTACAAAAAGTATATAAAGGTATAAATAAATAAAAGGTGTAAACATGTGTATAAAGTATATAATATTGTAAACGATTCGTAAGCGTAGGAAAGAAAGATTTATAAGGCTTATATAAATTTTTCATCAGGAAACAACCAAATGATTTAAATTTTTCCGAAATTTTTCTGCAATTAAATTATACGGATATTGTTTAAAAATTGGCCTCTCAAGATCAAGAACTCTTATTTTGATTACGTCGCTAATATACAATGTAGTAATAGAAATTATTAATATTTGTATATTGTAATGTAATTATGAAGGTAGCAACCAAAAAAAGTAAACGTATAGATTTTTACTTTAGTAGTTATCATACAGTAATATTTTAATGTTCGAAAAATAACGTATTTCTGTATGTAAAATTGCATTTCCATTATGTTTAATTAATGTCATGAGGCGGATTTAAATACTCATTTTCTTGTATTTCTTCGTTTTTTCACTTTGTGCACACGTCAAACTAATTCAGATATATACTCTCTGATCAGCTATTTTCTTTTATCACTTACTGTGTGCGTGTAGTATAAATTTTAATTAAAAAAAAACAAGATCTCAACAACTTAAATCCCAACTTAGTTCAATATAACCTAATGTACAGTAGCCACCAAAAGTAACGCCCGATTTGCAGATCATCTCACATGAGCAAATAAAACGGCTGTGTTTACCC